CAAAAAAAAAAAAAAAAAAAAAGGAAGTAAGTAAGGCCTTTGACGTTTAACTGGACTGGTTTCCAGGAAAAGTGTTAAGAACCTGGATGGTATTGGTAGTTTACGTAAATATACCCCCTAATTCTATTCCTTCCTCCTACTCTTCTGTCTGAGCCCCTTCTTGAAAAATAGGCCACAAGGTGGGGCAGGAAATGGTTTCTTTCAGGTCACTCTCCCTTCCTACAGTCATAAGGGAGTTCCCCACGGTTGTGGTTTTCAAATGTTTTTAGGCCCCCAATCTGTTAGCACTGACCATTGCCTTTTACCAGGGCTACATCCCTGGAGTAATAGAAATGCTTAGCCTCTGTTTGGATACCAGTGTGTTGGCACCTTGTTGCCGTTAGTTGTGTTTAATAAATAAGAAACCCTCCAAACAAAAAGTTAGGCTGGAATTACTGTCTTGTAAATACCTATTCATTAAATAACTCGAAGGCCTCTAAGTGCCAAACCCTGTGACAGTGACCAGCAACGTGAAGACAAACCAGGTGGATGGAATTCTGCTGTTGGAAAACGTGCAGCCTCTGCAGAAATCATGTATGATTAATCACATAATGAATTCACTGTATGGTGGTCAGTGCTCAAGGCCTTAAAAGGAATCAGTTGTGCAATGGAAGTCCAGCTAATTACCAACATTTTGGGGGTGAGGGAAGTAGCATCTAGACTGAGAAGATGTAAAGGACATTCTAGCACAAGGGAACTGGAAGGCAAGGGTGTGGCAGTGCAGCACCTCAGTACATTTGGGGGAAAAACCATGTGTGGTGGAGTTGAATTGTACAAAGAACAGAAAAATGATAAGGGTGCAGGCTGTTGCTATCAGTGTCCATATGTTCTGAATCCAGCATGAGAGAGCAGATCTGAACCCACTGTGGGTCACAGTTTCACCTCCTCTGGTGCTGAAAGCTGAGAGCATGTCCTATGCTTTGGGGAAAATTTAGAGGATTTTCAGGGAAACAACTGATTCTATGAGGTGTTTGCTTTATGGCCTGATTTTTATGACCTAACTTCTGGATACTGTGGAATGCATTTCCCATATAATAATAGGGACCGTAGGAATGGAAGAGTCATGTTGGACCAGATAGAAATCCTCAGTGCCCAAAGGCAATTTTGTAAATCAGTACACTCTAAGAATGTCCCCCCCTTGCTTTCTTTCCCATACTCAGGTCTCCTGTCAGATGAGACAATAGCTTCTTTCTCTTTTACCTGTATTTTTCTTGATCTTATTGGAACATGACCTCTAAAACTGAAGAGGAGGAAGGAAGGCAGAACCAGTTGCAGAAAGCAATGAAACAGTGACATGTCAGGATCAGACAGGTGGTTGATCTTGACACACCCTCCACCACCTGTCTTTCCAGACCTCTCATGCTCACTCTAAATGGT